GACATTGTTTGAATGATGAATATGGTTTATGATCAAAGTATATAATACTGGCGGAAATTACATGACTCCCTTCTAAGGTCTAGCCACCAATTCACTGGTTTGGCCCTGAGACAAAGATTGTGATGTTACATCAACCTACATATACATAAATGTAATAAAAATATCTGGTATGAGATGCTCGTACCTTTATCTACCAGTTTTTTTCTGAACTAATCGGAGAAGGAATACTGTAGATATATATGAAGTATGAAAAACATAACCAAAAAATAGACTACATGAGAAACAAATATGTAGTTGGCGACATTAATTATTACATATTATAAAGGATTTAGGAGTGTGCCTAAACTTCAGGGTACTGAATTAGATTTTGGAAGACCTCCTTGTAAACTACATTCATAACTGAATGTTGCGGATTCCCGTTCTTATCAACGATAAGGATTTTCAGTCCTTTTATTGACTTTACCCGAGAGACGGCAACATACAGTTGTCCATGTGAAAAAACTGGTCTAGGTAAATACAAACCAACCTTGGACAGTGTTTGACCTTGGCTTTTATTTATCTTCATTGCGAATGCCACTTTCAATAGATATTGTCTTTGCCTCATCTTGAATGGGAGCTTAGAATCAGACGGTTCTAGTAGCAGTCGATGTAACCAGAATTTTTCACCAATTCTTTTCCCTGTGATAACCTTAGCTTCAATAATGTGATTTTAGCCATCTGGTTATCTGCAACCTTGTCCCATTACACAAGCCTTCGTCAGGATCAATATTCATAAGTAACATCACTGGTGTACCAATCCTGAGCCTGATAGAATGATTAGGTAAGTCTGAAGTTTTTATAATGTTCGAAAAATCAGGACTGAAGACGGAGTCATCTTTTGAGTTGAATCAGCTGGATCAATACTATCAGAGCTTAAATATATTCGTTCTTCACCTACATAAGTTGTATCACAATATAAAGAGGTAATCAGAATGATATCAAGTAATATGAAGCTAATTACAGTAGAACCTATATAAAATAATAATCGATAAACTAATACTCTCTATAAATTAATAAATTTCATCAGTCCCAATTTCAGCTGTTTAAATATTTGACACAATCGATATAATAATAAGATAATAATATTTTAAAAAAATTCTAATGTAAATAAAGGTCCAAATAAAATTATAAATAAACAATTTCAATGTATACATATTATATATAAGTAAAAATCTATCATTATATTGTTTGTCTTATATACATAATGGAATTGTTTTTATATTTTCTTATTATTTATATATTTTGGTGAGATTTATTAATATATAACTAAAATTACATGCTAATTCTGTGTAATATATATTATATACACCAAATAGTATAATATAATTAATAAAAAATTATTATTTAAAAAAAAAATGTCTGATAATTAAACTCAAATATTAATTTATAGAGGTTTTACTATAGTTTAATATAAGTAAGAAGACCATTATAAAGAGTATAGTTACCTTCCAGTTGATCAAGCATGTAGTTGTTGATGACATCCACATCTTCGTTAGTTGGACAGAGAATAGCTCTCTCGTTAAAGAAAATAGGGTCTTTGGAATCTTTGAAAGACGCTCCATAAACTTCTGCAGCAAATACTTCGATAAGATCTTTGCATTTAGTAATCAGGAGATCCTTAGGAATGTCTATCATTATTTCCCCATTATTTGGTTCATTGATCTTTCCGTCTACTAATTCTAAAATCCACTTGGAGAACTTCCTAATCGCCTCCACTTCTTGACCATCAGGTTCTGAGAACAGTCTCATATTTTTGGTTAGCTGCAAAACTTTGCAATGCTTCCACAAATAGGATGAATTAAGAGAGGCCATGACTATATCATCTCGATTTCCCTTGGGAATAACGGGTAAAATCTGTCTGAAATCACCACCGAAAATGACAACTTTCCCACCGAAAGGTCTTTCATCTGTTGTCTTATTATGTCGCAGAGACTACGATCAAAAGATCCAAAGCAATGTTTGTTCATCATCGGTGCTTCGTCCCAAATAATGAGTGAATCTTTAAACAGTAACTCAGCCTGATGACTACCGGGTTGTATCATGCAAGTTGAAAATTCATCTGGATTTATAGAAATGTTGAACCTTGAATGTGCAGTTCTTCCACCAGGAAGCAACAATGCAGCTATGCCGCTAGAAGCAACATTAAGGACAATATCACATCTTAAACGTATGGCTGCCGAAAGAATATTCCATAAGAAAGTTTTTCATGTGCCATCAAAACAATAGACAAAGAACACTCCGCCTGATGTAGTACTGACAGAGCCTATAATCTCACTGCAAACTCTCCTTTGCTCATCATTCAATTGTCCAAACCACTCTTGATGTTGTACCCATAATTCTTTAACTGGATAGTTAAGCTCGGTCTGCAGAAGCTGATTGTCAGTATTTGATTGATCGTTGTCAGTAGGCTGTGGCATCGTCTCCCATTTCGCCAAAGAAACATTCTTACTATGCAACACCTTGTCAATCAATAATAATGTACAATTTTGAATCTAATCTTCACTCAACATCAAACCTGCATCATGTCATGAATTTAGTTAGTAACGATTCAGAGAATATTTAAATCGTTAATATACAGGGAAGAAGCAGACGGATATAGTGATAATGTATTTGTCATTTCTAAGTATTATTTTCTTACGTATAAAATACTCTCACCATCAAGATAATAGATAAGTCGTTCATAAACAGATAAGAAGCAAGCAATGCATTGATCATGTTACCGTATTTTGACCACTATATTTGTTACATCTAAAGAACTATTTACAACTCTGAAATAGCTAAATCTTAATTTTTAACTCACATGCAATATTACGTTAACTATATTTAAAAATGAAATTCTACGAAAAAGTATTCACTATTCCATGGTCTAAGAATGAATAATCGGCCTGCCCTACAGAACCTCGACTGCATGAATTTATTCATGCAGAATATTCAGATACTTTACAATCAGCAACACAAAACCGCATTCAATTCCTTGACCAAGGATAAATTATATTAGAAAAAGTTTGACTAAACTTACCTAGATACCAACACTTTCTTCATTCAATATAGAAAATGTCTTCTGATAATATGTCCTTTGTTGATTTCCATACCAATTTAGGAGACGTCAAACTTTGAGACAACAACATCTGTGCAAAAAGCTTGCGAACGTACTGTCCTGATGTCCAAAAACTACACTCCTTAAGTCCTTCGATATACTCCTTGTCATCATCCAATAAACCGAGCTTATAACATGCTTTGCTCTATTACCTTCCAATAATTTTTTTGGCGATGTGTTTTTATTAGGTCTTGAATTAATGATCCTTAAAGTATTAAAAAATAATTAAAAATACTATGGACCAATCACATTATAATTGTTTTCTCTAACTTTTTGTACAAATGACGTATCAGCAAAAATTAATTAAATGACATCTCAATTAATATATAGGAGAATTTTGCCTACTGGAAATGAATTACGGAAACAAACTATCGATCAATATATTTTTATAAGCTTTCTAAATAAGTTTTGAGGGAGATATCTTTTGTGGACTTACGATATTGTCCCATTTGCTTTGAAACTTGAAAGCATATACTTTGTATTTGCTTTGTTCGTTCTGAATATACTAGTATGGTAACCCATTTATTCATCTTGTCTCGATGTTTTGGTTAGATCTATTACCTTTCTAATAACTAGATATCTAGATTTATATTATTTACAAGGCTTTGTCTAAATATAGTTATTTATCTACATTGGAGAGGTGAGTTTGGAAGCCCATAATAAAGAATAAGAAGTGCACTTTTGGATGATAGTTGAATATAAAAATTAGAAAGTCAAGTTGACTAAACTAATCCCTCTACTCGTTGGATCGGTATCGAACGGTGTTGTTTCTTTCCTAGATAGTCTCTTCATTGCTGACATGTGGTGATAGAGTAATACTGTCCATGTAGTTAGTTTTACTTTACTTAAGAAAAATTAATTATCAAACCAAACTGTTAATCTATGATTAAATTAAAAATAAAACACAAGACACAAAATTCAGTATTTATGACTAGATTGATGATTATTGTATTCTTTCAAAAGTACTCTTATTGTAAGTTTTTATACTCTGTGTTTTTTAAAATTACATATTTTGTATTTTAAAAGCTGATTATAAATGCATCATTTTGTGTAATTAAATATTTATATAAGTTTAAATTAATAGTTATTGAATATATGTAATTAAAATAATAAAAATTACAATTTATCCTTATTAACTGGTAAAATTTACATATAAAATGTAAAACGTATATTTCCTTACAACAAAACAAAAGTTCAAACATTTTTTAGAATAAAAGAAATATTAATTTCAACAGAATATAATGATTATAAGTATAAGAAGTTGAAATTCCATCTTAATTATTATTTGACTTTTTAGTTTAGGGGTTACTCTATGAATAATTATTTTCAATTTAGTTCTTAAACCATCTTTAAAAACCCTTTTTATTGTAGGAATCCTCCTATACATTAAAAGAGAAGTCACTTGGACACGTGTCGCTCACACAGGCCTTCTCAGAGAAATTCTGACAATCTGATTGGTTGATTTTTTTCAATTTTCTTTGGTATTTTTTTAATTTTCGCCGTGCAAATGGTTTAACAATCGTATCTCATATATTCGTTTACCTTAATTACTTGCCTTATATAATATTCGGGAACATTAATTAGAGAGGTAACATTAATTTTGGGAATCTTTTATAATATTCGTTAAATTGTATCTCAAATATTTGGTTACGTTAATTAGAGACCTAACTCTATATTCGATAACTTGTGAAACAAGCTGGAAATTAAATGCCAAAGATGTCAATCTCATACCATTAGAAAAGTAATTCAGTATATATTAACGATGTCAAAGGAATCTATTCAATGGTCTCCACCTAAAGGGCGTCCTCTGGAAGCATCCGGGAAAACAAGATTCATCGTTCATGCATAGGTACCAAAATCGTTAATGGGTTTAGTCCTCGTGGATCGCTGGGGAAGACGACCACTTCTTATGGTTAGAAACTTGTTGAATTTTTGTTTGTTTGAACATATAATTAATCTTTATGGTTTAATAATCTAATGGATTGAATTTGCAGACTTCAGCATTTGGATTATGCTTAAGCTCTATCACGTTGGCGGTAGCTTTTGGAGTTAAAGATATTCCCGAGATTCAAAACATTACTCCAGTTTTCACTTTCATCGGAATATTGGTTAGTTCTTCACAGTTACGATTTTTGGTCTGATTAATAATTGGTTTATTCTATCAAACTGTATCATATAGTTTATAAAAGAAAAATTCAAGTCCTCTAATTGGTATTCTATCAAATTATACTTGCACAAAATGATTATTGTTAATTTTTCAAAATGTAAGATATAACCATTTAAAGTTCAAGAAAAAAAATATAACCATTTATATTCTACAGTCATTCACGATGATGTTTGCATTTGGAATGGGGGCGTTGCCATGGATTATAATGTCTGAGGTGATTCTTTTTTTCTTTGTGGAGATTATTTCTCATTTTATCCAAATAATATCAACTAAATGTCATGATTTTTGATTGTTATATATGTCTAATTTGTTTCTATTGACAGATATTTCCAATGGATATAAAGGTTTTAGCTGGGAGTTTAGTGACCATAGCCAATTGGTTCACTGGTTGGATCGCCAACTATTGTTTCAATTTTATGTTGGTTTGGAGCCCATCCGGTAAGTAACATAAATTATAATGCTTATGGTTTTCTTCGATTTAGATATTAAAAATGAAGTAATATGGTTAAAATGTATTAACCTTTGTTTAAATAAATTGCAGGAACTTTTATTATATCAGCAATTGTTTGTGGAGGGACAATTGTATTCACGTGGTTTTTGGTGCCAGAGACTCAAGGATTAACGTTAGAAGAAATCCAACTCTTGTTTGGTGGTGCTTAAGAATATAAGTAATTTAGTTTAACTTCTAACCATGCGGCTGCTTTTGGGGATGATATTGCGATTGAGTGTCTTGCTACTGAGTTTAAACGAGAGATCTATGTGGTGAGTATTGGTCTTATTTTGTGTGTTTTAAAATTACATTGAGAACTAAAGTTGTGTATTGTCATCATCATAGGTGCAAGCGCATGGGTCTGATGGGATGGTGGAGGAAGAGAATTGTGTGTTCTTTCTTCCACATAAGCCGAGAAGTGAGGTTGTTGAATCTCCAGTGTTTCTATTCATGAAAGGCACAGGGTGGTGTGGTGGTGGAGCAGATCATTATGAGCCATTGATAGCGAGTCCGTCTCAGATGATATCTCAAGAGAAAGTCGCCTTCGTTCTGTGATTTTTTTTGAGCTCTGCTTCTTACCTTACCATAGTTTTGGAGGTTTTTTTGGGTTAGTTTCGTTGAGTGTTTGTAGAAGAGTTATCATTGTTATAGAGAGACTTGAGTTTTGTGCAGGTTATTGGCCTGCGAGTTACAACAACCATTTTGTATTAGTCTTTTTGATTGTGTTGTTTCGTTACCGAGGGGAAAGAAAACTTCACAAGTATTCATTCCTAAAGAAAGCAAATTTTGTTTTTGACTTCTTTGAGAGCAAAGTCTTCATCTTTTTTAACTGTATTTTAGGCGTACCTAACCACATGAGTGTTGATAATTGTCACGTGAACAAACTCGAGTCCACGATAGAGAGAAAGAAAGCATCTTTCTAAGAAACGTATATTCGGACATTTCTTGATCTAGAAAACAAACAAAAATTATTAAAAAAGGGAAGAAGACAGCAAAAAAGGCCACTTCTTATGGGGTTTGGTTGAATCCTCCTATACATCAAAAGAAAAGTCACTTGGACACATGTCACTCATACATGCCTTCTCAGAGGAATTCTCTTAATCTTATTGGTTGATTTTTTTAGAATTTCTTTTTGATTTATTTTTATCATCGACAACCTAATAGGAAAGCAACACTAATTACTAACCTCATTAAATATTACTTGCACAAGAATATTAACTAATACATGTATTAATAAGTTTCCTTATTACAAATACGGTAAACCATTTACTCTTGATATCATATTGATTACATTACTTAATGACATTTAACAATTTGTATCTAATTAGGAAACTTATTTTTATTAACTTACCTTACTAATATTGATTACTTGCGCAAGTTAAAATCATATCATATGCATATCATTTTATTAGCTTATC